CCCCCCCAACCATTTTACTTCTTACCTTGATACACTTTTTATACTTTAGCCTCTTTTTTCTCCATTTCAAGCATATTTACATTTGAAATTGCTAAGTGGCATTTGAATTTGCTATGCGTTACATTTGAGATTTCTATGTTTACATTTGAACTTGTTATTGTTGTATTAGGGCTTTTAATGACGTCATTTGTATATTTGGATTTGTTAGGTGCAATTTGGTCTTTCTATACGGCATTTGAATTTGTTATGTGTATATTTGAACTGAAAAACTATATATAGTATCAAAGAAATAGGACAAAAGGACAGTCGTAACCACGTCCACCGACTTATCCATCGTAAAAGACACAATGTCTCAAAAAAGGAAGTTACAGGTTTTTTTTCTACCTTTTAGTTTTAGTCAAGCATCAGCTTCCATTTCTGGAGCAAGGGTCAAAATTCAGTAATCTGAAAACGTTTTACGTTCAGAAAAGGTGCAAGCCTACGGTAGACTTTTTTTTTTAACCACACGAACATACTTTTGAGAGATCGCCAGCGCACCTCAGGAATGTCAAGGCCTTAGCCGTTTTCAAGAACGCACATACATGGATCTTAGTCAAGCTTCAACTGCTATTTCTCGGTTAGCTCAGGGATCAACATTTTGTAATTTGAAATCGTTACATGATCAGAAAAGATGCAAATATACCGTTTTTAGACGACACGACAGTTTTGAGCGGTCACTCACTCATTTCTAATTAGAGTCTTGTCAAATTTATGGCGGTTTCCAAGAAGGCACATGCAATACTCGCATTGTTAGTCATGTTTGAGATGTCCTTTCTTGTTTAGCCCAAGAATCAAAATTAAATTTTATCACCTGAAAGCGTTTAAATGATCAGAAAAGATGCAGGTATACAATTTTCAGACAAATTGGACATCCTAAACGGACACTTATTCATTTTTACGAAAAGAATTGTCATTGTCAAAGTGAAGGCTATGTCCAAGAAGGCAAATGCATTCCATCTTATTTAGGCTTGAGATGTTTGTTTTTCTCTCTAGTATATAGGACAAGTTCTGTTATCTGAAAGCATTTCTTGTTCAGATAAGATGCAGGTGTACAATTTTCAGAAAATATAACAAACATTTTGAGAGGTCAGTCACTCATTTTACCTCATTGAAGTCGTCAGAGGTTGTGGCGGATACATGTACCAAGAAGACATGATAGTAATTATTATACGTTCCGAGTCAAGCTAAAGCTTCTATTTGTCTGTCAGCTCAGGGATTAAGATTATGTCACCTGAAAGCGTTTCCCGTTCATTTTGAGAGGTCAGTCACTCATTTTTACTTGATTAAAGGTCGTCAGAGTTATGGTTGTTCCAAAGAAGGCACTCGAGTGCTGCCACAAAAGAGGTTTCGTATAAACGCAGAATATCTGTGCACGTTTTCTAAGAGTCAGTTTATTAGTGGATGAATAATGAAATGCCAGGCAAGAAAGATCAAAGAGTTAAATGCCACATTCCACAGTAGAAAACAAAAGTGCATCTGCTTGTGAAGAGTTTGTCTATTCCTGGTTCACATTCTTGCGTAGATTTTGTTCATTGTCAGAGGGTCATGAGTCGCCCGTGTCCAATAGCAACGGTAACGCTACTTTTCGTTTGTTCTTTTCGAGAAAATCTCCTATCTTCTTTTGGATGTACCGGTATTTCTCTGTTTCTTTGGCAACGCGCAGCTCCGTCTGGTGGCGTTCCTGGGCTTCAAGGAGTCGCCTCATCTCCTCTTCCGGGTCACTCTGTTGTCTGAAAGTAAGGAGACTTTGTTAGATAGATAGATAGATAGATAGATAGATAGATAGATAGATAGATAGATAGATAGATAGATAGATAGATAGATAGATAGATAGATAGACAGAGAGAGAGTGTGAGAGGGAGGGATGGGAGAGAAAAAGAGAGAGAGAGAGAGAGAGAGAGAGAGAGAGAGAGGAGGGGAGAGATACAGAAAGAGAAAGAGAACAGA